TAAAACATTGAAGATAAAGCGTACAACAGTACGGTAAAACCTGAAAATGCCGAGAAATTATTAAAATAACTATAAATTAAAAATAATTTTGTGAATGGCAAAAATGCTTACCATATAAATCTTTTTTTTTCTCTTACAACCAGCTTTGATAATTCGTTTGTATATGTATATTAAATTAACATTCTGGAGTTTGAAAATAATTATATGTTCATTGTCAAACATATTCAGTATATTAATTAAGATTTACAAGATTGATTAAGATAATTAGTTTAAATACGATAACTTGTATATTATGTTTTACGAATTTTCACATTTAACGTTCATTTGTCTTATGATTTACAATTTTTCTATTTGCAAACGACTTGAATATTTTGGCAATAAAGTTATAAAAAATTACCTTTACTCTCCAGATAATAATAATAGAATAACTTTTTATTTCAGTTTTATAATTATTATCTGGAGAGTAAATGCTATTTTTTCTAACTTTATTGCCAAAATGTCTAAATCCTTCCAGTATACACTACAAATTATAAAAAAACAAAAACGATTTGAATATCATAATTAGTCTTATTCAAAAATAATTCAAAATTCTTCAAAAAAAGTTTTGAAGGCCATAGGCCTAAATAAAATGTTTTTTTAATTGTATACCAGTTTAACGTTGAATATTATTTATGACTTTAACTTTATACACAAGTACCAAAATACTATAATTAGTCATATTCAGTAAACTATTATCCTGTACTTACGTTAATATCGTTGTTTATTATCTTTAAATTTTTTGTACACGTATGTTCGTTTGCTAAATCTAATGGCGACGCCTTGATTTTAACTGAAAGTAGAATATAAGAGTAATTAAAAACCTAGTTAAAGGTTGTTTTATTTATCATTAATGCCTAAAAAGGAGGAATGAATCTACATGATATGTTTTCTTGTTTGTTAAGTGTAAACATAAGACGTCATGTTGGGTAAGAGGACATTATAAATAATGGCCTATTAGTCGTATCTAATGTTCATTTGTTTAGGTGTTGAACATGTCTACGTACAAAAACTTCCTTCTCTGTATCACGTGCCAGGCAGTGCTAAGCAGATTAGTAATGCTAGATGCAGATTAGTAATGGTAAACACAGGTGGCGCATCTTTTCATAGTTAAAAAATGAGGAACACATTTTTCGAGAAAGAAATTGCAGACAATATTCATTCTATAAAAATCGCAAGATATTTAGAAGAACACGTAAAATGAGGAAATTACAAGTTGCATTTATAAATGCTTACATGTAGTGTTAAAAACATCTAGCAGTAACTGTTTCTACGTTTTCAAGTTTTTCACTAGATGGCACTAAGTGAATAGAATCGTGTATACATTAAATTTTATTGTTTTTATTAACACTAAGAAAGGAACCTCAAATTTTGAAGTTTGAAGATAAACTAAATAAAAATATTCTTTGTTCAACAAAATGTTCCGTGCATTTACCTACTGGCCGGTTTCTTATTGTTTATTCTCAAACTGGTTGCTGGGACTGAGAAGAGCCTTTTCAAAAAGTCTGCATGAAACAAGGACAGCAAGGATTATTTCATGCACTTTCAGTCATGCAAAAGATCCAAGAGCAGCATCCTGTAATCCATGGATTAATTATGTTACCAGCTATTTCAAATAATACCTTCAAGGGAGAGAACCCCCAACTCAAACAAGTATCTGTGAATTTTATTTTACATTTGATCACTGTAAAAAAGGAACAAATCTCATCTATCTACTGCAGTTTGCGGGAGTTATCGTAAAGTCTATTTGTGCATAGTCTCTGAATTGGTTGAAATATTAAGAAATAGCAGACCAAAAGTCCTAATTTTGCGATTGTTTTATACATTAATTAAAAGAAATGCACAAGTCACAAATAAGCCAACTTTAGTTAATGGGGTTATTGAGAAGCATCTTTATGGCAAATCTCATTTGGATTGATAGAAATGTAAGGGAACTGCAGGTCAAATAACGTGTTTTTGTAATGTTTGACATTTGGCTTTATAAAATTGGAACGATGACCTATATCAAAAGGAAAAAAATGAAAAAGGGGTGTAGGCTTATTATACCACGGTATATATATATATACATGTCCTTCAAGCTTCAAGACGATCGTTCCAGATACAATTCTAATTGTTGGAAAGAAGAAAAAAGAAAAATAGAAATGCAACATATTTCCTCTCTATGTGTGTGGGGGAGAGGGAAGGGGGAAGTATTTGGAGAAGTGTAAAATAACATTTATTTCAACTGTGACACAAGTAAACAGAAATATTATCTCTTTTTGAGCTCATAGTTTGCCAACATATTGTTGACTGTTTGTTAATCATCGGAAGTACACCGAAAAGATGTTTCCTTTAAGTTCATCATTAGAAGGATATCGAAACGTTTTATTTTTTCACACTACATAATTCGAAGATTTGCTAACTTGAGTCGGGCGTGGCTCGGTAATTAGCGTGTTCAGACTGTGAATGGTTCGTGGTTCCTGGCCCGTTGCTGACAAAACGCGCTCCGCTCTTTTTGGGGCTGCGTGTACGATATAAGAGTGACGGTCACATCTCATTATTCTGTCAGACAAAAGTTGGCGGTAGATATCGTGACTAGTTAACCACCCTCAAGTCTATCAGTTCAAAATTAGGGACGGTTATACGCAGATAAACTTTTATGTAGCTTTGCGTAGAATTTCTGACACAAATTCTCTTAATTATTTGTAAACTTTTTTTCGTAGCATTTGAAATATTACAAGTAATTTGTATTAAATTTGGGTTCAATATATCTGTGGTTAGTGTATTGGACTCTAAGTCAGACAAGACAGTAACAGTCCAAGGCTCCAAACTTGATGCTGTAGAATATGCTCTGAACTTTCAGATTTGATTTGATTGAACATGGTAGTTGTTTCGGTTTAAGATCGCCCCAAGAAAACCTTGGAAGACAACCGAGGGCGCTCAGAAACAACAGTTGCTCTTTGCCCTGCTCGTGATTGTAGTGAGGGGCTATACTCTGAAGTTCGTGATGTTGACATGCTTGCATCACTTCTCTTTTGTCCAGCTTTCAGCTACTGGAGCATTCTAAATATGCAAGTTCATTTTGATTGTGTAAATGTTTGTGTTACGCTTTAAGACATATCCCAGGAAATTAACACCCTATTCTTTTTTTTTTTTTTTTTGTTCTTATCAAATTTTAAGGAAACAAATTTCCACTAAAGTCAAGAATTCCTTTTGACCACCCCTGGTCCACAACCTAAATGGGAGGTAAGGGGGAGAGATAGAAAATTTCGTAGTATGTAGTATTAGTGGGTGACCTAAAGTTATTATTAAACTGCACAAAAGTACTATTATAAACATTAAAGTATACTTGTAAATATTGTTACAAACGAAGGTATTGGATGCCCCCTCCCCTATTTTGAGCCGTTCTTCTGATGCAGATCTAGCGTGCTGCGAGAGGTATTAAACGTCACTTTCGTTTAACATCAGCTTCATGTATTTTGCTACCGACCTCCTCACTCAACTGTGCCCTCAGTGTGGCATTAAGGCAGTATAACTGAAAAGGCTGCCAAACTCGAACCGTTTATTAGATTGCTTCACCTCAGTCTTTGGGAATACCACCCGAGTTTATCTACCCCAATTTTATCAGATTGGTTAAGCCAGTTTCTTACAATTCACAGCAGTAGACAGGCTGACAACTCTCCTGTGTACATATCCATATATTGTGTGTGTGTGTTTGTTCAGTTGTTATTTTAATAAAAAAAGTATTAATTTCAATTCCATTTTGTCATTCGAATAATACAATGACTTCATATAATATTGTTATGATGCTAAAGTATGTTAATTAACAATAATTACGAAGCACTTTAAAAACAGAAATTACCACCAGGAGCAGTAAAATCATGGACACGAATTATCGAGCAGTTTTGCATTTGTTAATAATATTCCAATGGTTTTTATATATATTATGAAGGAATACAGATTGATGTTAAGTTGGGTTGTTATCAGTCGTAAATAAACAACAGGTCTATTTTATTTTGACAATTACAATTTTCTTTCTGTTTTGAACCTTTCTTGGGGTTCTATTATTACACGAAATTGACGATTGTTTGTTTGTTTTTGAATTTCGCGCAAAGCTACACGAGGGCTATCTGCGCTAGCCGTCCCTAATTTAGCAGTGTAAGACTAGAGGGAAGGCAGCTAGCCATCACCACCCACCGCCAACTGTTGGGCTACTCTTTTACCAACGAAAAGTGGGATTGACCGTCACATTATAACGCCCCCACGGCTGAAAGGGCGAGCATGTTTGGTGTGACAGGGATTCGAACCCGCGACCCTCAGATTGCGAGTCGAGTGCCTTAACCACCTGGCCATGCCGGGCCTCGAAAATGACGAAACAACCGGCTTACTAAACTCCTAAAACGAAACACATATGTAGATGTACGTTTGATGGAATTAACTGTTAAAACGTCATTTAATGTTCAACATTTATAAATCTGCCATAGACTTTGATTAGGAACTACAAGTTATCAAATGTAACAGAACAAATACATTACTTCCAATCAGCATTTTGAAACGACACTTCTGGTGATATTATTCTTGAGATTAAACCAGAAGAGAGGGAGAGGCTTTATTGGGAATGGTGAATGTAGAAACTGGTAAAAATAGAATCGCATAGGAACACCTGATAACTATTGATAAAAAGAAGAGAACATTATTAACATTTGGTGGAACTTTGTGTTTGTACTGCATCTAAGGGCTGTTTCTTGTTAGGGTGAATATAATATAGGGTGAATTATGTCCGTTTGAACTCACGGACATAAAGAATACAAGAACTTTGTATATGAAAAATTAATTATACAAATTTATACAGCAATCAGACAACTAGCTTGTTTGTTTGTTTATCAATGAAGCCAATCCCAGAAAACGTAAGTGTAGGGGCAAAATTTTGCACACGTCACTCTTCCAGAAGCCACTCCTACTTTGGAAGGTGAAGACTTCTCGCCAAGATGAAACACAGTCTCTTTATGCCCCGGCGGCAGGTGTGTGAACCGGCTCACGTTATTTACACTCTGCGATAAAATATCGTCTTGCTTAGGACGTCCAGCGTACGTGATCATGGCCGACACAGTAACTGTCGATCTCAAGGGCCTAAATGGAGTGGGACCATTCAAATCCGCCCAGGAAATCTTCCAAGAAACAGTAAGTAACTTTTGTTTCTTTGAGAGAGCGTGGTTCGGATTAACTCCCGAAACATTAAATCTCATATGTACTTAAAAAGTTCATTGTTTATATCGAAGCACGTGACCTTGAAGAACTTTGACGTCGTTTGAAAGAACTGGTCTTTACTTTACCAAAGATAAAAATTGTGAGAAGGGATCTCGCATATTTGTATTTTAGTCGGGGAGTGTTGAAAGGGTTGTAACCCGTCTGAATATCACTTGTTAGTTTTTCTATTACATATCCATTACATATATTCGTAATCCTATTTTCCAAAGACATCTAACTTAATGTATTCAGATGCAAAGTTTTATGTTATTTTCATTGTATTTACCTATATAGTATATCGTAAGGATTAGCCTGTGAGCAACATAGTTTGACTTTGTAGCCCAAGATTATATTTTATATGTTAGTTGTAGGATTATAATTTTGTGTTGAATGTTAGATGTGTAAAAGCACGTATTTTCAACACTCGCATTGAAACGAGTTAGTTTAATAAACACGTGTTCGGTGAGCACTATCAATTATCATTCATACTAATGCAAGTTACAATTTGTGTTAACACCTACATATTCAGTGAACAACTTCGTTTATCATTAAGACTAATGCAGGGGCGTATGCAGAAATCTATAAAATAGTTGCTACTTTTGGAGGGGAAATGAAATGAATGAGGCCATACTGGGGAATCCAGGGGCATGTCTTCTCGGAAAGAAATATAGCAATTTTCTCAGAAAATGGTGCATTTTGATGTTTCATGAGGTTGTTTTTACATTCTTTATATATATTCTATAAAGACGTGTATGTGGAATTTAAGGGGTACAATCCCCTCCTAGCCTACGCGCATGTAATTCAAATTTATAGTTTGCTTTAATAAACAGTGTTTATCATTCAGACTAACGTTTTCTACATGTTCAGTGAGCAGCGTTGTTTAACATAAGACTAATGTAAATTGTAACGTTTATATTAATAATTACTTATGAAGCACGTGTTTATCCGAATGATTTATTAACACTGTTTATCTATATATTCACTAAACACTGAATGGCTTTAGTTAACCCCGCATGAGTCGAAGAGCTAACTATTATTTATTTCTCAACACCAGCTCATTTTTAATAATAATACTTATTTGTCAACTAACGGTTAACGCCGCCTTCCTCCGTGTGTTAATTAATTCTTTCTTTTCTTAACTGAATACTTGTCTAAGTAAACTTAGTCCTGTATGACAGTGTTCCCCAATTATTTTCCACGCTGAGCCCCTTCAGATGACGTCCATAAAGCCAAGGGTTTTGTTTATTTTTGCAGTATCCGATTATAGCGTGGGCCACAAATCAGGCTTTCGAGGTCCTGGTGTGATCCGCTGGCCGCGTATTGAGGACTAATGCTAAATTAAATGAAAAAATGAACAAACGTTACTTATCTTTGTATTAACTGAATAGTTGTATAGTACTTCCTATCCTTTCAACTTTTAATCCAACTTCTTATCCCGGTGTTCTCATCCTTCCCAACCCTGCTGACATGGCAGAACGTTCTCAAGTCTAGACCCCAGCGTTAGTGGTTTGACCGGTTTTGTGGCGATATAGAGGTGACTTTGCTGTGCCTGTACGTGCACCAGTAGAGACAAAAACATAATGTTAAAAAACCTGGTATGTCATAGAAAGGTTAAAATACACTTAGTTGTTGTCTGTATGAAGTTCGTATAAGGCTGTTAAAACTTAGAAAATATTTATGATATTTCTGTTGGTAAATAAATTGCTCCAGAAAAAAAATTTTTTTTTGATACTTTCTACAAAAATAAAAAGCAGAAAAGTACACAAAAGTAAAAACACAAAGAAAAATAAATAAAAGGTCAAAATAATTGTTGCAAAAAATCAAGAATATACGTTCTACGAGAAAAATATTAATTGATATAGAAAAAGGTGTTTTGTGTACTTCCCATAGAAAAAAAAATGTTTCAGAAACAGTTACAATATTTGGAACACTTTCTACAGAAAAATATAGAGGATTGTTGTAGAAAAAATTAGAATGTGTTGTATACATTAAACAAAAAAAAATTATCGGAAAAGAATAAACTGATTTGGGCACATTATACCAGAGAAAAAATAAATTATTGTAGAACAGGTTAGAATGTTTTGTGTACATTCTACAGAAAAAAGAGAAGGAAAAAATGTTGTAGAAAAGAAAGACCGTCTTAACCAATGAACAATAAAGATCATTTGGTACATCAAGGTTGTCCTTGCACACCCACCCCTGGGATAAATATCAATTTAAATCCACTCTTTATTTTTTCAGGAACTCGTCGATTTTTTCTCTTCAATTCATGTAAACTATGGGCTCCACTATTGCCGACGGCAACTAATTTAAGTCAATTATCCAATTAGAAAAATATAACTGTCTTAATTGAGGCTTAGATTACCTTTTCCAAACCTCAAACTTGTGTACTCTCGCCCATTGTCTTTAGAATAAAGCGTAAAGAAATCGGAGTTATTTATCCAATCGATCCCCGGGTAATCTCGCAAACTCCAACGACGTCACTTCTCTTCCTCTCAATATAAAATAAGTTTAGATATTATATCCTATTCCACTAAGATAACGCTTCTTAGTACTCCTCTTCTGAACCATTTTCAATACGTCACTGTTAAATCAGTAGATCAACTGTATACATGTATACAGTATTCAAAGTACTAATAAAATTACATGAGCTTTTATACTAGTGACAGAGAACTATCTGGGAGGCTTGGGTGACTTATCCACCACTATACAAAGATCATTTTCTTTAGCAACACTGTTGAGTAGGTTCCTATTTATACTAAACGAATGATTCAATTGTGATAACCCAAATATTTTATCTTGCACTTAGTATAATTAAAGGTCATTTGCTAAATATTTATTTAACTTACTAATATATTCAAATCATTATATTGTACCTCAACATCCTTAATAGAGCTAGGAATATTCAAGAGTTTAAAGTATTCAGCAGATTTTACTAAGTTGTTAATTATGTCCACTATCAATATTATTAATGCAATTAACAAAAAAAAAAAAGGTCCAAGCTCTGACCTCTGATGTACCCCAATTAGTAACAAGGACACAATTTTACTGGACTTCATTAATCACAACTACTTTCTTTATCTAGTCTTTTTCAAACTCGTACCTATGTGATTTTCTTAGTTAATCTTTTGTGGGATGCCTTATGTAAATATTTCTTGAAAATATTAATTACATCCAACTCGCACCTTTTCCTTCGCCCACGTGACAAGTAACACACTCGAAAAAATAAAATAATAATAAATGAGTAAGGCAACATTACCGTTTGTTAAACCATGTTAGCTTTCTCTCTCTCTCTTGTTGTGATATTTTAACATATTCACTAAAATATTTTGTAGAACTTTTTTGTATACGATCTACTGTGAAAGAAAGTGGATTTTTGTGGAAGAGTTTAGAATGTTTGGTATACGTTATACAGATAAAACGTACATTGTCGTAGAAAAAGTTAGAATAATTTGTATACGTTATACAGTTTTTGTTCTTTCTTGTGTGTGTGTGAAAGAGGGTTTTAATGTTTTCATATGTTCTACATAAATAAGTATATTGTTGTAAAAAAAGATTAGAATGTATGTTGAATATTTTCAACAAAATGAAAAAGGCGTCTGGACGACTCACGGTTTGGGATTTCTGTTTTCAGGAACTGTTGTTTTATTTAACTAATGGCACATTGATAAGTTTCCTAGAATACACTGAATATACTGATCATGAATTGCATGACCTCAATAACTACATTTCACTTATTAGTTGTGGGCCTATTTCAATATTAAATCTACGAGTCTAATCAATTCCATATTTATCAAATCCTTTAGCGTCCGAAATGTTAAATAAACAAAAGATAGTACACTGTGGTTAGAGGTTCTTAAATAACAAAAACTAGGCCTGATGTTATTCACTCGAACTTGCTATATATTTCATGTAAATAGGCTGCTAAATGGTTGAACAACATTGTTCATTTTGATTATTCCGTAAAAATAATGTACAATCTATCCACTTCATGAAAACAGAAGCTTTTTTACCGACTACAATGTACAAGTTCTGCAGATTGCGTTTTTTACTTTGTTGGTTATGTGTATGGTGTTTTCACTTGCATTTTACTCATCAAAGTGAACCTCTATTTATATAGGGTTTGAACATATGGTACTGATTTATTTTTCTAAGTTATTCAGGACAAGCTGTTTAAGACACCGTAATAAATACGAATGACAAGTAGTTAATGGAATGATATACTTGGCTTTGTTTTTATTTTTTAGATATATTTTGTTGAAACACAATTCAAAATGTACAGCGTTGAACTGGCTACCACTGCACCAAACTCACCAAATGTCTAGTTAACTAACTCCCGCATATTTTCCCAACTCACTTTCAAACCTAACTTTAGAGTATTTAACACTTGGAGACACTTGTGAAATTTCTAGGCCTCATATGCTCATCCCGTTACGTAAAATCTAAAACTCTAGCAAAATCATTACAAACGTCTAAATCAAAATATTAAAACATAGCTCACAACAATAGATTAAATCTATTAAAATCTCTAAAATAAACTATTTATAAAATAAAAAAGAAAATAGTAATTGATTATATGCAATTCTATTGTTCTGGATATTTTTCCATGACTTTAAGATTAATTGGATTTATTCTTTTAGTTTAGTGTTTCTCAACCAGGGTGCTGCGAAATGTTAACAAAATAATGTTATCCACATGACCCATCACCTTGGCTACGCCGCTGTTAACTAGGACAAAACGTTAGGGGTGCCGTGGAAATTGTAGACTATATGTAGGGGTGTCTTGAACAAAAACAGTTGAGAAACGCTTTCTTGGTGAAAAGCATTTGTTTCGCTTAAAAATGTTTCAAATTATAACAAAAAAATAAATCCAAACTTCTTTTTGGGGAAATAGCTTTGATTATACGCTTTCTATTACAGGTTTGCAGCTTAAGG